TCCCACGTCGACAAACTGGGAAACAAAACAAGCTCAAACTTGTCTATAAAAGAATACCATATGCATCATTACAAAACTCATAAGTGGGCTCTCCAAAAGCCCGGTAGTTGCCTAAAGTTAAAATATTTTGTGGTTCAAAACCGAAATTAAGAGGTGAACCGATTAAGTTGACTGATGGTCTTAATCGCGGCGGAGCATACTTGTCCAGCGCTAATCCGGACGATTAATTGGGTTTTAAACAGGGTTTTACCACGTACGTAAACGATTTTTGTTTTTATTTTTTGAAATTTCAAAACTTTTCACAATTGAAAATTCTTGATCACAGTGTGGCCAATTGTGGACGACGATAAAACAAGATACTTCTTCTCTCCAGTTGTAAAAAAAGCATAAAAGTGGTGTCTCGATGGGAAATCGCATATCGGTATGAAGAAAAGTTTGGTTTTCTACAATGGAACAGGACGAGAAGCTACGAAAACTGGTTGGATAATGCACGAGTTTCGTCTCGCTGGAAAGTATGATTATCTGAAAGTAAATTTCAAAATTTTTCAGTTCAACTTAATGTGGTAAAGAAATTTGTATCGATATTATTCACTTAATATCCATACAAATTAATTTAATGTGATCATATTCAATAATATCCAAGAATCATAGGCTAATTCCTCGAGATGAGATTACAATTTTATACGTCGCCACCGTAATTTTTTTTGTATTTTCTTCTTTATCCACAGGATGAATGGATCATCTGTCGGGTTATTGACAAAAATCCAACAACCGAAGAAGACTCAACACCAATCAATCCAACTCAAGATCCACCGACTGAAGACTCAACCCCAATTAATCTACAACAGCTTGACACCCCAATTAATCTACAATAGCTTGAAGATCTCATCGATTTTACATTTGCATAGAAAGCCTAGTGATTGCTTTTAGCTAAAGTTTTTAAGTAAAATTAACTTTAACCTGGATAAATTAGAAACTTTGAAACCATGTTTTCTGGCTCTGAGTGCCGTAATGGTTCTGCAGTTTTTCGTGACCTCATTGGTGACGAACTGACATGCTTATGGCTTTGGGATAAGAGGATTGTTGAGTTCTCTGATAAACCTCGATTCATGATACATGATTATTTCTCTTATAAACCTTCTCTTGCCTCACTCTTTTCTTCTATCTCTTTCAGTGATACATGATTATTTCCTCGATTCGTCTATTGTAAAATATGCAGTCATGAGGAGATAGATGTTAGCCATCCACATTTTTTCGCATGAGCAAAGCTTTTAATGGTTATGTTTCTCGAAGAAAGAGGTAATGAATCCAAATTACGTCTCAATTCCAAATCGATGTAGATTTATATAATGGAAAAAACAGAGTGGGTGTTAAACAATGTTAAGTTTCCGTGGTTAAGTGTCTCAAACCTTTATCTACATAAACTACATAAAGCTCCAACAAATGTATTTGTTCTCAACTCTGGCTCTTTATATTTTCCAAATGTTTCTCTCCAAAAATGTTAACATTGAATCTATTTGGATCTAAGTTAACTCTAGATCACCTCAGAATCAATATTAGGTACAAGCAAATATGTTCATCATCCAATAAACATGCATGCAAAAACTAAAGTGAACGTGTTTTGCTCATTTTATATTTGATATGGTTAGAGAGATAAAAGCATTATGCTTTACCCTTTCTGACACTAAGGGTTTCTATATGGGTGTATTGAAGCTAAACTATACCAACTAGTTCAAGAACCAAATTATATTCTTTCAAAACCTATCTTTGTTGCACATCAGGCATATTTGGATCTTTGTTTCAAGTCTCATCCCACTTAGATGAGCTTTTATTCATCAGTTGGTACGAAGGTAAAGTTTTTGATAAGCCCACTACCCTTAAGCAGATTATGGTGTTTCGAGAAGATGACAAAGGGAAAAACTTCTCTTACACAAAGAGAAAAACTTCTCCTACACCGAAGAATGTAAGGATGCTTTTCTTCTAACTCCAAATGTATATTCGTACCTTTAATCATAACTTCATTGGCTACTTTCTTGCCATAACGAAGAGAGAAATCAGGAGAGGTTATGAGGGTGTGCAAGGTGTGCAACCGCACATGGTCCATTTTTTTTAGTTAATTTTTATTGTAATTTAGGGTCCAAAAATTATTAAAATTATATATAAAAGGGTCCAAAATTTTAGATTTTAGCAAATATAACCATTTGTTAAAAAAAGTTAAAATTTTTGCACAAGACCCAAAAAAATTTTGGCCTTTTTTGTGCCGCGCCTGAGAGAAATCATGTTGTAACTCACACCAATAAACATAACTTCATCATAACGCTTGGTGTGTTATAATGAAGCATAAACATGCATGCAATAACTAAAATGAACGTGTTTTTAATCGAACCGATTAATTGGCATTAAATCAACACTAAATGAAAGCAAATCATTCCCCTATAAGTTGGAGGATTCGTAAAATATATTTGCGTGATTCTTTGGCTGTTTTTTTCTTTGTTTCCAAAAATCGTTAAAAAACACAAAATTATCTTCTAAAAAATGACCAAACGTACAAATCATAATAACAAAATATATGCAATCTATATCCTAATTTGCATGCAATTTTTCGTGTTACCACATTCCATC